ATTGTTGTGTGCTGTGTATCGGGGAGAAGAATTCAAAGACTCTGTGAGTGTCGCGGGGACACCCCACAGTATAGCTTAATGGGTTGATGAGGTGCTCAAACCGTCACTCCACGCTAAGGTCCAGTATCTTCGTGACTGGATTGGACCTGCTGCCATTTCTCATTCGTTCATCTATGACAACTGCTACTAGCAAACTATCCTCGTCCTCGTATGTCAAGGTCCCCATAACGCGAGCATCTATGAAGGTTTTTTTGCGACAGGCCAATACTTCACCCCCTCATGAATTCTCTGTAAATCCCGAATTCGCCCTATCCTAGAATACTGCTGCTGTCTAGGGTGGGGTCCTTAATTACCCCTTCTCGATTACACTCATGATAGAACTGCACGCCCGATATACACTCGTTCCTTGAGTGATGACCTGAGAAATCACACCACCAGAACGTAGCTTCTTTCGCTGTACTCGACCGATACGGAGCACGTCTGTCGGTGGTTGTTTGTCTTGCCTATTTGTCTGTATTCTCTCCGGTGAAATCGTCACAGACTCGACCATACGGACGTCTGACGGCCTGTGCGCCTCCCCAACCCATACAGCTATACGGGAGATTGTATGTGTGATACTCAAGGGCCTCTCATGCCAAGTTGGCAATAGGAGGGAGTCCGTCTAACAATTTTCTGGTCCCCATCATGGAGAAGCTGGACCTTACCGTGGTGTGACGCTTCGTCTGCCTCCGTGACTGGGAGGTGTCCTTGCGATACTTGCAAGGGTTAGTGAATGTTTAGGAGTCTGACCCACGCAGTCTCTAGGTTTGGCGGTTGGAACACGCGTCCTGATTCGTTCTTTAAAAATGGCAATGCAGTTGCGTTTCCCCCAAACACTGCTACCTTGTTGCTAGGCTTTTGAGCGAAAGCCTGTGATCGACGACCCTGAAATGTCATCCGATCTTTGGTCTGGGTGCTGTGACATCACAGTCCGCGTAGAACAGTGATATCCACAAATAATTCTATGTGCCACATCGTCTGTCACATGGTGTCTTCAGTTGGATCACTTTAATTACTCCAATCAGCAGGGTAGGTAAGAAAATAGTCTACCGCTGACGCCTCGTCTCCTCTCACGTGTTTTTTCCCTTTCCATCATCCTTCGCATTACTAGGCCCGTCAGTTAGGACTGTCAACCCCGTTCGCGTCTAATCGGTTTTGGCTGCAACATCGTGTCAGCCGGTGCTGATAGCCTCGTACATCTCGAAATCAATCTTCAGATTGCTGCTTCTAATGTCCGCACTCGGACTAACTGCTCTTCCCCTCACACTGGACTCACTTGACATTGTTGTGTGCTGTGTATCGGGGAGAAGAATTCAAGATCAATAATAGCGGTTGAGGTACCTTCCCATCACTCTCTACTTCCTTCCATTTGCACACTTCTGGGGATCCAGAGGCCGTTGCTGCAATATGTGCAGAGGACCGCATCGTCCTAAGCCACCAGGTGGAACGACCCTTGACTGGATACACGTTGACAGTTGCCTCTAAATTTCTTCTGGCAGTCCGTGAATGAGTCTCATAGAGGGAAGGTGATCGCTTTCTGTTTGTCATGTCTGCTTACGCCCCAACCGATTGTAGCTCTGACAACACCAGCTTTTAGGACGCCTTGGTGTGCTGTCGTGGTGAACTAAGAGTTCAGATGTCGTGGGGGTTGAGGGAGATCTGAATGCTTAAGCGGACAGATCTGTCGTACCTGAGACTCACTTGGGCGACCGACACGGATTGGATTCGGTACATACAGGCAATGGCGATCGCCAGCTTCTGCTGTGTGCTGTTGTTATACAGTACTAACTTTCAAAGTGACCGAAATCGTCCCGCCACATGTTATAATCCAACAGCGTGCTAGCCGCGAACCCAAGTCCACCACATCAGGGGAGGGGGGGGTGAGAAGGCTCAGTGACCAGAGCGCGAATTTACTGATCGGAAGGTCCGTGGTTCGGACCCGACCTCTGCCTCTCGAATTCCCCTGTCTAGGCTTGGGCAACGTGACAGTATCCCAGCCCTCGTGCTTCCTCCTGGTGGCTTTGTAGCTAGACATCGAATGGGTGCTACAGTTGAACGATTTTTATTTTTATTTTCACCACATCGTCACCGATTACCGGTAATGCGACCAATAACTGACTGTCTTTCGTTTTTTTGGCACACACTTGTAGATTTCGAGCACGCGATCGTCCGGAATCCCTCCTCTCCGTTTCCCAGGGTCACTTAAGTTGTGGACAAAGCTTAGAAACCATTATAGACCCTGCAGTTGAATGATTTTATCAGATTCCTTTTGTGGACTCTTCCAACTGGTCCACTGTCGGTTCTAGAACGAAATGGCCACATCTTTGCACAGTTTTGCCTGTGGCATGGCGTTGCCTGGTCCGCTCAAACACTGGATATCGGACATTGCAGTAACACTGTTTGAATCTCGAACAAATGAACGTGACGAATCATCAGACGTCGAGTGAAAGTGGGCGTGGGCGCCGACCTTGGAACATGGTGGATGCGGATGACCAGGGAAAGGAAAAGGTTTAAGAAGCCAAGAATGTCGGAAAGTTGCTTCACTCGATCCGCTCGAACGGAGAAGGACTCGCTCGACCACTGGACCCGGAGATGCTCATATCTCTCAGAGCGGAAACTATATCAATCTGGAATTTATGGACGATCTTGTTCTCATTTTCAGAAAAGGACAGAAAACACGGGCAATGCTAGAAAAACTGACCAGCATCGTCCAGTTTTTAAGCATCGGCTTTGTGCCTACCAAGTGCACTGTCATGCCACCAGATACACGGCCAGCGAACATGACTCCAAAGGACTCAAGAATTGACATTAAGAGCTGTGGAACGTTGCACTCATCTCGAGAGTTGCATCAGTTCTGACGGCATTGTGACAGACCAAGTCAACACACGAATCCCAAAGGCCAGAATTGCGTCCGTCAATTTATGCCCCTTGCGGCATGGAAAAGGCTTATCACTGGGCTTCCAAGTCCACGAGTATCAAACCACATTGCGGGTTTTGTTGTTGCAGGATTGAGAGATGGCCACTTCGATTGGAGAATGAGACATCTTCAGGTGTCTCAAAACAGCAGTTGGAATCGGCTGGAACCAGCGGATTAGGAATGAGGTGATCAGTAGGCGTAGTTTATGTAACATGGACCCGATGAGTACATCCCGCACTGCAAGTGGCTGGGTCATGTGTTACGCCTGCCTAATTACTGTCTTCCAAGAAGAGCGTAATCTTCCGTAGCTAATTCGGAAACCCAGATGTGAGTGGAATTTGACATATTAGAAGGAAGTGAGGGGTGTTACAAAAAGCGTGGGTGGGTTTTCAAGATGGCGGATTGGGTTGATCAGAATTAATCCATCAACTTTGGACAAGACGAAGCTAATGGACCAGTAGTTGCTGGCGTCATGGCGGGAACCACATTTGAGAATGCGGAAAACAAGTGGATTTTCCACTCTGAAAGAAAAACACCGGTGGTTAGTGGTAAGTGAAAAAGCCCTGAAACTGTCTGGATCAAGCTCAGGAACGAAGTTGTGGAGCAACATAAGGATACCATCCGAACCAGGTGGTTTGGAAGTGTTGAGTTGTGATGGGAGACAGCGAACACTGTGATGATAATCGACGAAGACAGACAGTAAGCTGACACAAAACCAAAGGAAGAAATAGGAGACGGTAAGATGAGGGTGAGACGTAAATCTCCGCTTTTGTAGCGGGAGATAATGGAGACATGAAATACATTAGAATGGGGGCACTGGGGATTTCAGGTAGGTGAGGTCACCAGATCCGGAGATTTGGGCCTCAATGAGGAACGAACGGATCAAATGAAGGACAGAAGTTGGTGAACCAAGTTAATGTTCCAATTTAAGCCATGAATGTTGCAAGTATGCCTTTGGAATCGCATGAGAGACGTATTCTTGTATCTATATTTTCGTTTGCTTTGTGAGTGGGGTTCTGGCATCCCAACTCACGAGCTTTTAATGTCAAATAATAGAGAGCTCGTATAAGTTGACAGTCGCGCCAGGGTGAACCTCATACATTTAGAGTACCCATCCAACATCACACATCATTATCAGGCGCCATAGCTAAATTAGGTAATTTAAGTGCAATCGTTATGGAAAATTTGTAACCTCAACACTGGATTTGCACGGGTTCTAACACCCTTTAACGTAACTGCCTTATCCGAGTCAATTTCTGTATATCTCACAAGTGCACCTTTTCATTATGGCAGCATTGTCATATCAGCAACGCTTGCCTTATTGATAATGTAGCTGGATTTCAGGTGCAACTTCTTTGAGGCTTCTGTAGATGGCTGTGATTTTGTGCCGCTAGAATCGGCGGATTTACACGCTCATGTTTTTACATTCAGTACAACATACTTCTGGACGCTGACGATCCGCAGTCATCGTGATGTTACTTTCAATGTACAAATGATTGCGGCTTGGTTATGATGAATCAACTTTCTTGGTTCCGTTGGACCGTATGGCTTAATCTTGGCCCATGAGGCATGAATAAATGTGTTTGAATCATTGGATCTTCTACATCTGTTCACTACGTCAGGAGGTTTTCTATAGAGGGAAAAGTCGGTAGCTCAGGTAGCGTAGATGGTCATTGGCTTGTTCGCTGAGCTGGGCAATTTGGTTGCAAACGTTTCATCACCAATCGAGGTGCTCACAACCACTAACCCACCGCTAGGCACAACTACGAACTGATGATGTCACCTCGATTGGTGGTGAAACGTTTGCAACCAAATTGCCCAGCTCAGCGAACAAGCCAATGACCATCTACGCTACCTGAGCTACCGACATTCTCCTCTATAGAAAACCTCCTGACGTAGTGAACAGATGTAGAAGATCCAATGATTCAAACACATTTATTCATGCCTCATGGGCCAAGATTAAGCCATACGGTCCAACGGAACCAAGAAAGTTGATTCATCATAACCAAGCCGCAATCATTTGTACATTGAAAGTAACATCACGATGACTGCGGATCGTCAGCGTCCAGAAGTATGTTGTACTGAATGTAAAAACATGAGCGTGTAAATCCGCCGATTCTAGCGGCACAAAATCACAGCCATCTACAGAAGCCTCAAAGAAGTTGCACCTGAAATCCAGCTACATTATCAATAAGGCAAGCGTTGCTGATATGACAATGCTGCCATAATGAAAAGGTGCACTTGTGAGATATACAGAAATTGACTCGGATAAGGCAGTTACGTTAAAGGGTGTTAGAACCCGTGCAAATCCAGTGTTGAGGTTACAAATTTTCCATAACGATTGCACTTAAATTACCTAATTTAGCTATGGCGCCTGATAATGATGTGTGATGTTGGATGGGTACTCTAAATGTATGAGGTTCACCCTGGCGCGACTGTCAACTTATACGAGCTCTCTATTATTTGACATTAAAAGCTCGTGAGTTGGGATGCCAGAACCCCACTCACAAAGCAAACGAAAATATAGATACAAGAATACGTCTCTCATGCGATTCCAAAGGCATACTTGCAACATTCATGGCTTAAATTGGAACATTAACTTGGTTCACCAACTTCTGTCCTTCATTTGATCCGTTCGTTCCTCATTGAGGCCCAAATCTCCGGATCTGGTGACCTCACCTACCTGAAATCCCCAGTGCCCCCATTCTAATGTATTTCATGTCTCCATTATCTCCCGCTACAAAAGCGGAGATTTACGTCTCACCCTCATCTTACCGTCTCCTATTTCTTCCTTTGGTTTTGTGTCAGCTTACTGTCTGTCTTCGTCGATTATCATCACAGTGTTCGCTGTCTCCCATCACAACTCAACACTTCCAAACCACCTGGTTCGGATGGTATCCTTATGTTGCTCCACAACTTCGTTCCTGAGCTTGATCCAGACAGTTTCAGGGCTTTTTCATTTACCACTAACCACCGGTGTTTTTCTTTCAGAGTGGAAAATCCACTTGTTTTCCGCATTCTCAAATGTGGTTCCCGCCATGACGCCAGCAACTACTGGTCCATTAGCTTCGTCTTGTCCAAAGTTGATGGATTAATTCTGATCAACCCAATCCGCCATCTTGAAAACCCACCCACGCTTTTTGTAACACCCCTCACTTCCTTCTAATATGTCAAATTCCACTCACATCTGGGTTTCCGAATTAGCTACGGAAGATTACGCTCTTCTTGGAAGACAGTAATTAGGCAGGCGTAACACATGACCCAGCCACTTGCAGTGCGGGATGTACTCATCGGGTCCATGTTACATAAACTACGCCTACTGATCACCTCATTCCTAATCCGCTGGTTCCAGCCGATTCCAACTGCTGTTTTGACAGCTCAGCGAACAAGCCAACGACCAAGCCAGGAGGTTTTCTCTCAAGCGTTTCACCATCAGTGCGGCACAAGCCCTGTTGTTTGCGTGATACTCAAAGTGAGGGCATGGAAGAGGTCGTGATTGTTTTCTAGGTTTTTATGTTACAACGGATAATTATTTGACTGAGTAACTGTTCATGCGTGCCATCTGATATGCCTGCAAATATTTCTCAAACAGTCATATTGATGAAGTTACACTGTTTCTTGGCGGAATTTTTCTTGGCTTGCGAATGTCTCGATGTTCAGTTTCAAAGCTAGGCTCTCTTGGATTGCTGATCTTATGCAGAAGCATAAACGCAAACTTCTGCGAAAAGAATGTGCTGAATGGAACTTCTTGGTAGGATTCACAGGAGCAGCAGGTTTTTCAGGAGCCTTCCGAGGAGGTTTGATAATAACCAAGCCAGACTGGCCTGGCTACTTTCCTCGATCATAATGAGTCATTTGAAATCGCCAGCGTTGCTGGCATAAATTACCACTGCTTATCTGGTTCCGTTTCTTGGTGATTTTTCTTGTTTTTTTTTCGCTCAGAAATTTCCGCAAATTTTATGTTCTGTTGTCAGGCACCGTATCTAAATTAGGAAATGTAGGCGCAGTTGCTATGGGCTCGCGTCTAGTCAGAAGTATCCACCAAAGTTTAATCATCCTTCCGTGGGAAGGACACCAGAAACATCCCTTCTGAACTCCTTATCAGGTGATATGTTTCTAGATCACACGTTGTTGATTTAGCTTGTCTGCAACGAGTTAGGCGGTGGAACCCCACGGATGGGTGCATAACTTATCTACAGATATCAACAGCAAGCTTCGTTGCTCATTTTTGTGATGCGACCGCTTCAGAATGGGTCTTCATTGGCTTCGTTTGTCCATGCATCACCCCACTGCTATCTTCACGGCCGGTACTGGCAATATTTATGTGAGCATTCCTGTTGTGTAGTTTTTATTACGGTTACCAATATCGCTGTTTTCAAATATCAATTCTTCCAGGATGTGCAGGATGATTTGGCTGATATGTTATCCGTGGCAGATGAAGTTCAAGATGCTCTTGGTCAGAATTATGCCACTCCAGATGTGGACGAAAGTGAACTCGAGGCAGAGTTAGCTGCCTTGGGTGATGATCTTGGTCTAGACAGTGGCTATTTGGATGAGGCCTTGAACGCACCGTCAGTGCCAAACACAACTGTACCCGGTGAAGGAGTTCCGGCATCGGCTGCTGGCAGCAAATCAACTGTGGTATGTGTATTTAATTAGTTTTATTCTACTACTGCTGTCTCAATGAATAGTCTGTTATTCAGAAAAGGCAGTCCCCACATCGCGTATAAAAGCTCTTGTTTGACTCTTTTCTGACATACACATCGTGTGCAGTCGCATAAGCTTGCTGGAAACAAGCTGGGTGGTTTCCATGTCACCGCACCACAATGTTCTTTTGTAATTACCGATGGTAGTACAGTAGTGCGAAGCACTTTCCCTCACCCTCATCATCACCAGTATTATCTGAGTCACCGTCATTGTGATCATCGTCATCATTGTCACCATCATCACTCCCATGGTCACGATCATCATCATCAACATCATCAGGACCACCATCAAAAACGGCGTCATCACCGTCATCACAATCACCTCACCATCATCGTTGCTGTCATTACTATTATCGTTTTCATCATCATGATCACCAATAGTCACCATAGTGTTGGCCATTACCACCATCACCGAGATGAGGATCATCGTCAGCAGCAGCAGCAGCACATTCGCAGTCATCGTCATCATTATCACCATCGCTATGATCCTCGTGGTCATCACAGTTTGTCTTCATGATCGCCATCGTTATCACCGCCACCATGATTACCATCGTCGCCGTCATCATCACCATCCTCATTAAAGTCATCATCAGGACCGTTACATTAATAGCGTGTATATCCGGGTGAATTTTCACGCCAGTAAATCTATTTTTGCGGCCTATATCTGCTAAACAAATGAGCCTGGATACATGTTACGTTGCTTTTATTCCTTGGTCTGATCTTATGGCATTCGCGTACTTGCTTGCCTAGGCTGTTCTGTCTATACCAAGTATATTGTTCAATAGTTTCAAGTTATAGGGACATGTTTGCTACAGATGTACGTAGACTACCCATGAGCTCACCTGAACAAGTCAAGGAAATGATGAAACTGGACTACTGTCATTTCTGAAAGTATCACTCCCTCGGATCGCACAGTAATATTCCTCGTGAGTTGAGACTTCACTTGCGACCATAGGTTGTGGCTGGTAGGGAGCACGGTTGATTGACTGTTCGGTTAATTGCATTGTTCCCATCTTTGAACGAGAGTCTTACTTGAAACTTTAATTTCAGGGTGGAGTTCCGGTGGACGAATTTGGCTTGCCTCAAATATCTTGATTTTACCAAACCTGCCGCCCCAATATCTGACCGCTTACCAAACATATGCCAACTTTCTAATTCACCCGGTTTTCGGTCGGACGGATACCCTCCCGAGGAGCTGCTGTTTGTTCACCCTGTTCATCTATGTTTATTTTTCTATCATCTAACTTCGAATACTTCCGCCTAAACTTATCTGAGACCCAGTCTTTTCGTTCTTCCTCAAAGGTGATTTTTCTGCTATGAATACTCGGTTATCGCAGAAAGTTAACTCCAGCGCCTTATTAACCGTTTTTTTCGGAATCCCGCTTTGTACTTATCTGCGCAAACCTGTCTCGGTTGCTCAACACCGACCCTGTTTGACCATGACTATTAACGGAATATGATTATATACCCCAGCTGAGGATTCGCTTGATGATAAGAAGGCAAGTACAAATAAGCTAGGGATCAGACTCGAACACACGAACTCGTTTTTCGAACTGGTCCCCCACCACACGACCTTCAGCGAGTGTTGTTCCGTGCCGAACATGTGCGTTGAGATCCCATATTGAGTCTGGAAACATTTGGCGCATGTTTTACTGTACACGATAGTGGTATATGATGAGACTAGGCTTGTGCGTTGCCGAGGCTTGTGGGATGCTGATGATTCACATTGTAACCATAGCTTCGAGGAGACCGGTGGTAACCATCACGCCAGCCGCTTTACATGGGCGATCATGAGTGAACGTCAACTGCTAGAACATTCATCATCATCATTATCAGCTGTAATAGGCAGCTTTAGGTCGGGAACATTGCGGGTTCCCATGCCTGTAGAGATCAGTGAGGTACAAACTGCTAATGGCTTCCAAGACGAGTAGAGCAGATGTGCAATACTTGTCGCTTTTCGGCGTAAATTGACTTCAACTGCAGGATGAAATCTCGATTGATATAGTTAGACTTGAGATTTCAAATAACTAGGTTGAACGTCTGAATCTTACACATGCCGGTGATGGCCGCCGCTTTTTAGCCGGGTGAAACGACTTTGGCAACACAGCTGTTGTACTAGCATGTCTGATTTATGAGACACCCCAAGTAGTGCACATCAGAATGGTCGTACTGTGCCACTACACTCCATTTGATTGGAAGTGCATGCCTAAACCGGATAAGTATTCAAGAACTGCCGCTATGAAGTAGTTTAAAAGTGCATTTCTCGTTACTTGACGATGTATATCGTTGTTTACTAGGCAGATATGGCAGGGTGGAATTGGATTTTTTGGTTAAAGAGCGCGATGAGCAGCGTAAGGAACTTTGATGTTAATGCTCTATCCATTGCTGTTCCTCTGTATGACTGGGGCATCGATAGCGCAGAAAGCAAGGTGCTGTGCCTAGAACTGCACATAGTCCAACATAGAACCAAATTTAATGGATTTCGTGTGCTGAAATACCATGCTGCTCCTTTGCCCCACATGAGAACAATTGTCTGCACCGCATAATGCGAAAGGCAACTGTACTCGTTTTCGCGCCATCCCGATCACTTAAAAGGGTGAGTGGAAGGTTACGAGTTTCCTGTATAAACCGCAAATACTAGACGGATTAAAGAGCATTGACTAATTGACTGTGAACACTCAAAAATGCGTTGAAGAAATGTTAGTAATGGAGGTCAGTGAGTGACCGTTGGTTTATTCCGAGAACTGGGTAGTCATGTTCCCATGGTCAGACCAGATGAACAGGATTAACAGCATCACGCACAGTACCCATTCATAAGGCGGTTTTCTCTTGTTGGTAAATCAGCTACAAGCTTAGCAGAAGGCTGCTGACTGTCAAGCGCATGTGTTGACTGTTAGTGCGCGCGCGCTTATGCCGGTGTGGATAAATTTTGTATTGCCTTGATCAAGGATTTTCAGGAAATAACTCGTGATCTTGGAAGCAGACCTTCGTACCTGTGTGCATGTCCCACAGCGCTCACCTTCAAATGGGGGTGTTCTAGAGTTTGGATCGTCATGGGACAGTAACCGATTGAAACGGCACAAAGCACAAACAAGGCGCTCAACATCACCCCGCATCCGGTTCAGAGGTACCTCACCATTTCGCACCCTAGTATTCATACCCTACTTTGTTTACTCGTTGCGATCACACTGCGTACTTTTGGAAGCCACAATAGGGAGGAGCGTCCCAACGCAGGAAATTTCGCCTTTTCAGATAGCCTGCTATACTTTCGCCATCCGAAACGAGAGACGCATGTCTCATCATGAAGAGTAAAGGGGAAACCAATTGTCGGTAGCAATTTGTCTAGAAATTAATGCCGGGTTGGATTCACCTCTGATTTGTCCAGAAATTGGAGCAAGCTGGATTGATGAACCTGGTCTTTAGGTAATACGGTAACATTTTTCAAAAAAGCGTACTGTGCCCCTCTTTTCACATGCTGCGTGCTGAGGTCTGTCACGGGGACGTTTGGTATTCTATGTCCTCGTTTTTATCCATGTCAGCGACAACCGATACCTTGTTTCAATCATCTTCAGTAGCTGAGATCCAGTTGAGTCTTCCTTTGAGACCGAGTTAGTTTGCAATTGAATGAATTTCGCGAATACCATACAACTTGGGTTCAATTAGAACACAAGGTTGACAGGGGCTCGGGGAAAGTTGGTGGTCAAGTGTCCAACAGCTTCCTGAGCGGCGTGTTCCGTCTGAAGAATATCACCTTTCGTCATTCTGGTTTCCGCGCTGTCTTAGTGCGTCTGCTCGGATGTGGGTTGCTGTCGCACATGAAACTTTTTTCACACTCATTAATGAGCGGCAGATCGAATTAGCTGTTGTACTTATATAACGCTTACATTCAGATTGACGGGTTCAGCTCTGGCCCATGGCGCTCGTTATCAGTTCACTTTTATGGGAATCGTTCCTCTGAGTCTGTATCGCGCTGAATTGACCAGAAGTGTGTGGATTGTCGTGGATCTATTAGATTTGATTGCGATCGGTCTGTTGCTCGATTATTTGTTGCTGTACATCAGTGCTTTTCTTCGTTCATGCCCCACGGGCCACGTACCGGTCTTTAACCGATTCACATAAACAATCGATCAGTTTACCTTGAGAGCATATCTCGCTAGCGAGTAGCCCTCGTGCCTAGTGGGATGATAGGTGTGACCTCCAACCTCATTAAAACTGATCCGTCGCTGTACATGTCATTTGAACGTGTTGCTTCCACAACATTGGCTCGATCTGTTTCAATTAAGTTTTTGCCGGCTCTGAGCATCTAACCTCAAGAATTTGAGTGTATTCAGTAACAGTAGACGCGTTTAATGTGTAAGCATCCGGAGTCGGTATGATGCGTAAAATCGACAGATGACGGAAAAGCGTGTCGGGCACCGTAGTGTCAGCGGAGGATTCGTGTTGACGCAATGTGGGGAAGTTGTGCGATCGTCGTCAGCCCCTGCATTTCAGCTAATTACGAATACGAGCCACAAAACAAGATATAACAACGAAAACAATTATCTCTCGAGCTTGATAGATATCGAATAACCTTTCGTTACGTCGCCTACTTCCAAGTTTCTGATTGTATACATATCCCAGCAAATTATGCTGTATAAGTCCCAAGCTGCATTATTTGCCAAGTTAAGTCAGGTCAAGGAACGCTCGTTAATGTGTTCTGACACCTGAGGCTCAATGTAGCAGTTGGCCAGTAATCACATAGGGCACCTCATTTGTCCTTCTCTCTGAGCAGCAACTCACCTATGAGTATAAGGGCATGACTCTTGTAATGGAAGGAATCTCCGTCCGTAACACCGAATTTGTTTCCTTATCGTGACGTTTATGCTCATGCATGATTTTTCCTATCCGTTTGGTTCCTACATCCTTTCAACAGCTTTTGCCGACCGACCCTGCAGTCTATGAGTACGAAGATCGAGATTGGTGAGGAACCCCAGAATCTTGATTTTTTCAACAACTTTGTTATCCGTCATCTTTCCGAATGCCATAGCAAGGTAACTCGGCGATCATAGCGTGCCTAGTTTGTTCAAGTTCCACGAATGCGGCTGCCAGTTACGATTTATGTACAGGAAAGCGTCAGCGAGCAGTTGCTCACTAATTAGTCACAAGATCGAAGCCATGTCAGGATTTGCACGCAGCGCTACCTGGACAGTTCTGATTAGTGATGCCTCGCAGATAGTCACCGGTTTAGCGTCCGTGTGACACTTTTTGTAGCAGGAGCTTGGTTACCGAAGATCCCGGGTCAAGTTTTCGCTTTGTCTGTTTTGGTCAGCTGTTGTACTCCTTTAAAGATGTATCGTAGTGTGTTCGGCCACACTGCTCGCTAGAGATCAGTAGTTTCCGCCAGTGTAAGTCTCCGCGACAGCAAGAGTGGTAGGTTACATAGGTGCAGACAAGTGTGTGTTACACTTATCTGCCACCTAAGTTATATCGGCGTGGTCTAATAATTTCCAACTAATTGACTTCTCACTCTTTAATAACTTGCCCCAACCTGTCCATCCGAAACCATTCACTTATTTCCTAATGTTGGCTTGTATACCGTGTCCTCATCCACTGTATCTCACTAACTCTTACGCTTGATTGCGTGGCAACTCTGGTCTGTCTTATTCTAGCCTCTGTTGACCTTACTGATTAATCAGTATGATGCTCTTTGGATGTAAGCGTCGGTGTACAGTTGCTGTCGTTTCCCAAAGGGTTCAGAAACTCTGTTCTGCTTTTATTTCCCATTTAAAAGAACCGTGTTGAACGGGATATCCCAAGTATTCTGTACTGTCACTCAGCCTCCAGATGAGAAGCGTTAGCCAATCAACCAGTTCTTTTGCAGTTGTTGGAAGCACCCATAACAGAAGGTACTCCCTGTTCCCAATTTTCCGCTAAAATTAATGAACAAACAGCTCCAAACTGTTCGTCTTGTGTGGTGGAACTACTGCAAACTGCTCTGTTGGTCCTTGCGAAAATCCCCAGCTTGCGTTTTGTGCACAGAATGTCTTGAGGCAGTGTCTGGCCTCTGTGGTTTTAATCGCGCAACTTTATTCAACTAGTGACCACCAGTTCCTTACACCTTATTGCGGAAAGTGTTTCGTACATACAGTGCACGTCTGATGACTCGCGTTCAAAATAACTGCTAGCACCCCTATACACCTTGTACACGTGCCAAGGAAATATAAAACAGGAGTTGGAAGAAACTTATTGAGAGTCTGGTTAACCGCAACAAAACAGCCCAGGAAATCCCAAACTGGAGAAATCATTGAGCAAATACCAAAGCCACAGAAGTATTTTCATCTCGACAGAGCACTTGCTTGGAAACAATGATTGGGAGAAACAGATCGCTAGTACGGAAAAGACCCAGTAGGTACAAGCGGATCCTGAGTGGAAGAAGGGACAGGCCAACAACAATAAACCGCCGACTGTTTACAAGTTCCAGGATTTCAGGGCACTCATGTTAGATGCCAAAATATCAGTCGAAATCAGAGGGACAAGTACAGAAGAATTGACGAAGAATCACTGGCTAATCTTCAAGGAAGAAATAGTTCCCACTTTTCTTCTGTTCCGTATCTTTGACCGAATTCAGTTTGTTGATGCGTGGTCGGGCGTTACTCGGATCCCGCCGGAATGTGATATCTAGTGATTGTAGGAACTGATTCATTCCTGACACCAAGTGCTGCGGGCTGAATCAGACAGAAACAAAAGGTTTCGGAAAATTCGTTTGTGACAACAGTACACAGTAAACAATCGACTAAGCAACATTCGTTTGTCACGAGTGACGCCAAAACTACCGGCAGCGACGCCATTAATTGACACTCGTTTCTAACAGCATTATGAAAAGAGGATGCATAGTTGAGTGTTTGTTTTAGCAGAACATAACGGCTCAATTAGAATCAAGACGGCTGGATGGCATGAAGCAAGGGAATCACAGGTCGAATCGGAAGTAGCAGTATTGAGAGGGCAGAGCATCTTCATTGGGTCATGATGGATTGGATGAATTGTAGACCGATTCGCCAAATGTCGCATCTGAATGTGCATCTTACGCGTGGCAGTTGAGTAGAGACTTAAGTAAAGGCATTTTACAAGCCGACGACCACCATTTAACAGATAATTCAATGCCGGCTAAAGAGGGGGTAGAAACGACTGTACCTCATGAAACTAAATCATACACGCACAGTTTGTCAAAATCACTACCATTTCCCTCCCCCTTAACCCTACACACAGTGATCAAACAACCAAATATTAGGCAAGCAATGTAGTGAGGCGATGCAGAGCCTACCCTTCACACAAACGAACATCAGGCTGCCGACAAAAATCATTATCAGACAGAGAGCCACATTGGGCCATAGCGATCGTCCTCTTTACTTAGTTGACCTGTTTTGTGTCGGAAAATATGAAAACTCGAGGAACTTTTCCTAAATAAGATTGTGGACACGAATCGTTCCTTGTTCGAGAGTACCCTTGTGTTGGGACCTCGTGAGTTTTGGGAAGCGCATCCAGTTGAGCATCAAGTAGTCTTGTAGAAATCGCAGAGAAGCTGCTACTAAACGGAGTTGGTAACCATGGTCAATGGTTTATCATTTCTAGCATTACAAAAACACGGATCAGTTAACTGCGTCTCCGATTTCCGATCCATACAGCGAAAACGAAGCATCGATTGAGTGACTAGCGGTAAAAAATACCAACATGTAAGTGGCTTGTACGCTCCAGACAGTCACACGGACAACCACCCATGCGTAAAACATCCTGAAAATCTACGGCGGCAACGTCTAGCGTCTGCATCTTTTTTGTCCTATGATGTCCAGCTGCTCAGCAGTGTTCTGGCTAACCGGAACGAAATGTCGTGCCACCCAACTTTAGCGTGTTGCATGCCTTAGACACTGCATCGCGAGATACCTACAGTGACAGTCTAAGGTTCTCAGATGCATTCGTGCTACGAAACTTCCTAGCAAGCTTCCAAAATTTCGTACAGTCAGATGTCCGATGAAGAAGAGGTTTACTTTCTTGGAAACATGGCATTCACTCTTGCATTGGAGTTCCAAGGGCTCATACTGGGTCAGGGATATTGCTAAATAAAACACCAATCAAATTAGATGTAGAGTGAGCTAACAGAGATAGAGCTTGACTTAGCTTATTGGTTCTCCTTCCGCCTTAAATCTCGACCAACCTCGGAACCTAGTCACTTGGCCTGACGAAGCTTTTGTGTCAAAAGCGAAACGTTGCCCAGCAATAAACCTACCTATAGTCACCAAACTTTTTCGAAAACGATGAGCTAACATTGATTCAGTTATTTACTTTCGGACCAACACATCTGGATTGTTGAAATGACTTAATTATGGATGACGACTTTTGTACCGAACAGAACCACCGTTTAATCTAGCGTCCCTAAATTTATAGGGCGTTACACAGCGATTAGTCCTGTCTGCTTACCCAACAGCGGTGTCTGGAAATTCCTGCACGTACTCACTTATCGCAAAGGAGGATGTTTGGGAAATTCAATGGAGTTGAAAACCAACAGCAAACTCATCTCCCGTCAATGGATATCAGGAAACACCGATACAACTATAGGGAAAATGAAACTTCTGTTGAGTTCGGTTTGGATTATCAAAACACAAGACTTGCCCTTCTGAGTATGATGTCAAAAAGGATACAATGAACGATTGCTTTGCTAACATACCGTAGTTCGTAACACCACTAACAATGATATCAATGTGAGTAACATTCAGATGGGGAATGAAACGCAGCGATGCTTACTGGCTTTGACGCCCCAAGTCAAGGAGTAGAGATCTCAATTCAAGTTGCCTGAGAGGAAAAATACAAAGTTGCTGCGGACATTCTCGTGATACTATTCAGTGACTTACGTTGTCGCAGTGGCTTCAACACCGGGTTGCCCGGTAAACACGATCACACGATCGGCCAAATATGTAGCCATAATGAAGTCGTGTTCGACAACAAAAGCCGTTTTCTTTGCATGTAGAATAAATCGTTTGATCACCCGGGCCGCGTGCAGACGTTGCTCAGAATCTAAATAGGCCGATGGTTCATCAATCAAGTAGACTTCAGCTGGCTGTCCTAGGCAGAGGGTGATTGCCAAACGTTGAAGTTCACCACCAGATAAGTTCATGACCTAGAGAGTGAACGGAATCAAGATAGATACTGATTAGCGCGTGGTAGTTTTCGAAACAGTGAATCTAAATATATGCATGTAGTTGTAAGGTTTGATAAAAGTGCACTCATGCTGCTCTTGTGTCACGAGGAGAATGGACCTTAACGCACAAGGCTGGTCAACAGTTTGACCAACACGACCGTTTCATCTTCCAGATTGGAAGTCACAGCATAGGTCGCAACTTCTCCAAAACCTGAAATGCCCGAGCATTTACTACCCACATTACCTGACTCGGCGTCAAGTATTTGATCCAAAGGCTCTGGTTTAGAAACCTAAGTCTCTTCCTTTCTGGGCTTTGGCGCCCAGACACTAACCTGGGTCGAGTACAGCCAAGACACACTAGAAGTAATTTTATGCCATTTGCGTGGAGACATTCCGCCGCTGCAGAGTTGGCGATACCTGGTCGTCGGCTTGTTCGCTGAGCTGGGCGATTTGGTTGCAAACGTTTCATCACCAATCGAGGTGACATCATCAGTGCGTAGTTGTGCGTAGCGGTGGGTTAGTGGTTGTGCTCACAACCACGCTACGCACAACTACGCACTGATGATGTCACCTCGATTGGTGATGAAACGTTTGCAACCAAATCGCCCAGCTCAGCGAACAGGCCAACGACCATCTACGCTACCTGAGCTACCGACATTCTCCTCTATAGTTGGCGGTACCGTTTGGAGGGTTATTTACTCAGTTCGAAGCGTTTCCTGGCCCAGACAGTGCTGTGCGAGTCCAGTTTATTATACTGTTTTAGGACAGCTGTGCATCAGTCTCAAAATCTCAAGCGGAATTAGAGCTGTTTACTTACTTATTTAGCTGCTTATTACTTTGGCTTGGCTTATGCACTAATGTTTTCGAAACGCTTGTCTTTTATCGGCCTTCATCTTGAGACCAACATATAGATTCTGACCACGTGCTCGCCTGCTCAGCGAGTTCCGAAGTGATGCAAGCAGCAGATAACTGGATAAGCAACCCAGAGGTTCACAAATCCAGAAGCCTTCTAACTTATCCGACGTCAGATGTTGTTGCAAATGCCTGCAAACCTCTGGCTCCAGAATCTCAGTAACCGAAGAGTCGCTGAACAAGAATACACCTGCTTTATCACGAACAAGCGAACAGAAAATTACCAGGAACGGCGCAGTATTCGAAGTGCACTCGTGACCCTGGATTAAGGCTATCCATTTGGCGTTGGTTGATTGACTGGCATCGATCCTAGGACATGCATAAACACTGGAGCACCACCACCCATCTCTGGATGGCTGCTTGAACCCGGAAATTCACAGATTCACCAGAAGCGATTTCGGTGGATTTGACGCTTCCCAATAAGGTTTAGGCATTGTGAGGTTAGTTTAAGGAATCTAACCTTCCTGTCAACGTAAGACTGACCCGCGGGTTAACATTAGCAGGGTTTCGCTCACTCAGTTCAGCGTCTCAGTAGAACAAAAAGGTCTGTCACAGAGGGTGCAGTTAAAGCGATGGAAGTTGCAGGTTGCCTTGGGAGTCCAAGGTTTCACTCAATAGGTTGAGACTAAATGGCAGTCGTTTCGAATTTGGAGTCCAGCACGCAGTCGACCGCGGTTTGCTAACGGGCGTTTTTCACATCGATGACCTCACCCGAACGCGATGAATCAACTGACCGATTTTTTTGAGGATGATTTTTGTCGCAACCGTCCGTTTATCGTAAATTCTGCTGGAGACTGGGTTGAAAGTTGCACTATAGCTCGACAGGAAAGCGCCCAAGATTACCGCTCTGATCCGTGTAATAAAGGCAATGCCTCAGCTCAGTTACCAGTCTGATCCTCGCAGACTAGCGCTTTCAACAGAGCCACCAAGTGTTAAAACCAAAACCAGGTCAAAGGCGCATACACAGCACGTCGTGTCCAAAGTTTATGCGGCAACAACAATCTGGAAATTCGGGCACCATCTGGGAGAGGCATTGGCAACAGCCATTCGGAGGATTTAGGCACATTGGCTGCTGGGTGCACATTTTCGACATACCGGAGCTCGCCTTGATGCTGGGCCGGTTGGTAGCTCGACCTTCTGACCAATCACGCGCGGATTAGGCTAGGTGGCCGTAGTAACGCCTAACTGCGACTGTCAAAGCAGTTTTGGCGCAGGATTCCGCTTAACAACGGTTCAGCGTGTCAGTTGTAGTAAGGATGCTAAGCAGTCTTCGGTTGAAATGCGCAGGCGGAAGTTCGGGCTGCTTCCAACTTCTCGAATGCAAGCTGAAGATAGCGTGAACAACCCCACGGACATCTCATTGTCAAAAGCTGATTCAATGGTTCGCACAGTCAATGCATAAGTGTTACAACCATCATCATCATTGACAGCACATCAGCGTTCAACATTGATGCTTCGCTGCCGTACAAGTAGTACAATATCATTGTAGTAGCTCATAAACTGAAACAGTGATGAGTTCAGAAACAATGAATGGTTGGCGCACTCTGACGACTGCAGCAATATTTAACGGGTTGGGTCGACGGCCATTTTCGTCAATAATGAACCCCGAGTGCTTTGAAGGAATCAACAGGGATGCACAGCTCTTCTTCATCAGGAACCTATAGACATGTATCTGTTCAAGAACGGCGTCCAACTGGAACGGAAACTTCTTTTTAGATTTTCCCAAAAAATATCGTCAAGATATACAGCGACGCAGCATTAACATCACACAATGTAGTATGTGGTGAGATTGCTGGCGCAATTTTCACTCAAAAGTAATCGCGTGTACTAAAACAGTCCACGGTGCGTATTAATTGTTCGAAGTCTGGAGTCCTTTTCGACTTTAATTTGCTTCTGGGGGACCCAGCCACAGTTCACCCTCGAGAATCATTGGGTAATAGCAGTAGACAGCGGTGATTATTAGAGATCATCCAGGCTTGAAGAGTAATCGGTAAGGGTCCTGACAACATTCGTTTCTTGACAACTATGGTTAGTGTAGCCCTCGAGATGCTCACTAGTTTCGGTCTGGAAACCGGCTTGATATCCGGGCGTAGGTGGGGCACCAAATTTCCTTTTAAACGGTACTCAGGGTTGCCGGTGAAAAGCTGTGACACATTTCTGGTTTAGTATTAGAACCCTCCCATGGACCGTGTTAGTGGACCTTGATGCTCAAAATTTGATTTGGCGTAGATATACATGAACTGTCAATCGGCAATCTTGAAAACCGCAAACGATCGGTCCCATCCACGAAGAGGAGGTTAAGCATACAAGCGGCAATCTGGACCAAAATGATCTGCTACCAATGGGTGATAGTCCATGCTCTATGGAGCAAGGCAGTTCAAGCTTGTTCAGTAGCCTGGTCCTGATATCGGTTTCTGACTGAAAGGCGCACATGTAAAATTAAACACAAACCAATCTTCCGCGGGACCATTAATTTAAAACTTTCACGTGCAAAGCTGACTCTACCCGTATAAGTGATTTATATTCTTATTCATTTGCCACCAGTTTCATACACTCATGGCCAACACTGAGCAAGAAACAGTCATTGAAATTTGCTGAGATGCTAAACGGCTACGCCTCGCGTGTCCTTTGGCGGGACGAGGTTGAAGTGACATTTTCCGTTGTAGCAAATTTCTGAACAGTCACTCGCCAGGCCTTAATTTGGTACCTGAGTTTGACCTTGAAAATATCTCCGTAACGTTGAACTTTGAATCGAAGGTCACACGAACATCAGGTTTATAATGCAACTGACGACCAAGCCCACAGAATCTGCAACCGGGGCGACTATTGAATTGTGAGTTGCCGTGCAAAGTTTCTACTTACTACTATGCTTAACTCAAACTGAGTTTGTCACAGCAGAATCCCCTTCAAAGATTCAGCAATTACTGTCATTTTTGCGTGGGTTCGGCTGTTGCCAGTCGGTTGTGATCATCTGAAAACCGTAGCTCCAGAACCTTTGCCACCGGGAAGGACTCACCAAACAAGAACAAAATACATTCATTGTTAACAATTACGTGCGAAATTATAGGGAGCATCAAGGTATTCAAAGCACATTTTGACAAGGTTAGATGATTGGATAACATCACTTCTAGGTAATGCATGAACACTGGAGCACCGAAGGCGAGTGGTGCCTAATCGGCAGCTGACCACACCACCCGTTGGTATTTCAGGGGTGATTTTGGTAGATCTCAGCGAGGTTCGGACATTCTAGGGTTACCTTCAGTTATTTGAACTTTTTGACAAATGGCAGTTCCCATCAGAAAGCAACCGCCGGAGCCCCTTAATATTTCCGTGGTTCCGCCTGCAGCATGGCACAGCCACCTTCATGCGAGCGGTGGATGAGATAGAATAGTGTCGCTGGATGAAGGGATGTGTTCACTGCATCCGAGCACACTTCCTTCCGGCAGATCATCAGACGTGAAGTGAAAACTTGCGTGCATGCAAATCATGAAGGCTAGTGCGCTCTGAAGGCTAAGTAAACTCAAAAATCGAAGAATGCTAAGATGCCTTAGGATTTGCACCTGAAGGTCATTTATGAGCAAAAACATTCAGGATCAAACAGTTAAACAGTTTAGATCAACTACGACGCATCAGTCGCTGATCACCTGCTGACTGGACTGTATCAGAAACCTGAAGGTCGGATCTGGAATCCAATTTGGTGGGTTTATAACTTAACAACGGGCCCCTGATCCGGACGACCCCCCCCCCCACCCGTATTATTCGAAGATGGCGGGTAAAGTTCTCAGCTTGTTCCTGAGGTTGAGATAATTCGGTGGTTACGGTGCAAAGCCACATACCGGAGGGCTCGTGGTTTGAATCCAATCTTGACTTTTTAATCGCTCCTGTCTAGGTCTGGGCAACCTGGCAGCAGCTTGTCATCCGTGCTCCGTGAGTTACACGGCAGACGTGCACTGATGGGGTGTTACAATTACACAATTCATTTTTATTTTACCTTGCCTTTATTTGGCACATATGAGAACCGTGCACATTCAAAACAGGACCACAATGAAGATGACAATTACGGGGGGATCGCTTGATTCTTGTAAGGATTATTTCGGCGTCACTTTTCTATGGTCACCCTATGATGACCCGTGACAGACGGATTCGATATCAGCAAGCGACATTTCAACTTCGCAAAGGTCCCGTTCACAAGTTCCCACTCTCCCTCAGTCATCAAGTCAACCTTGGTGTTCACGGAATTCTGACGTGCTTACCAATCTGTCCCTCTCAACAAGCCTGCTCAGCAAGAAATGCCCCAGATGTTTGTGAATGCAGCAAGTTTCTCATCTTTTCAGACCTGCGGACATATAAGTGTATGTGAAGCTCAACAGATTTCTGTCCGGACCTTGATAACCGTCTCAGGGCTGTAGTTCGCTGGTACCAGTGAACCCATAATCAGTCCCTGCGCAACAGAGATACCGAAGCATGTTCATCACCAGTAACTGAGGCGGCTGGTCTCGTATTGCGCACACTGAGGCTTGCCGAAAAAAAATACTGATTCCTGTGCACATTTTGAAGTTAAGGAAAGAGAGGGTGGTAGGACATTGATCTGGAAGCTCTCCAGAATGGAGCCCAATCAGTGTGACCACTATCGTCGTCGTCAGTACATCAGCATTCGACACTGATGCTTCGCTCCTGCACGACAATTTATTTGAAAGCCCTATGGGGAAGAAAGGAATAAAAACGGGATCAGGAAAGGACCTAGTGCTAGCCTACTGCACTCACTCCGAGGTGACTACACGTCCACACACTCCACTGCACAGTCTGGATAAAAACTGACGACAATAACAACAATGACGCCAATTAGTAGCTATATCTTGCAGTGCCTCCAGCTATACATAGGGAGATTAGGCGGGCCCTATTCTAGGAGACGTATCCCTTCGACAGCCCTCAGACTTTTCGTAATCGCCTTCATACCCATCTGCGAAGTCAGGGGATGACCATTCTGCTTGTGCAATGCTGAATTGGGTATGCAAAACAACACTCTCTTCAGCAAAAGATGGTTCGGTGTGGGCAATACATGACCACAGCAATGCGGCTTTTGGAATTGGATACATTCTTCGACTGAAGTTCTTGTTGCGCAACCAAACACCGGTTTTCTAGTTGCTTCGTTGCGGGCTCGTGGACAGGAGCTTACACGATCTGTTTCTGGGAAACAGATATAGGAGACTTCTCAATTCCGCTACCTGCAGAGATCACGTGGCGCAACCATACAACAAACCAGAGCGTACTGTAGCCCGATATATACGTTTCCGGAAATTTAGGAATATGTCGCTTTGAAGTCATGTGTCTGGAACCAGTGAACGCGATCAGGGTCCTAGAGGTTCGCCAAATGACTTCATCTGTTCACACTACAATCAGGAAGTATACAACTTCCAGATTAGTTCAGATTAGCTGAGTGAGTACTTGGAGGTATAGACACCTCGAAATGCTTGTGGGATGTGGCGCTAGCTTCCTTCTCTCTGCTCTCTCATAAGCAGACTTCTAGGGCAGTGAAACGGAACGCACCGCTCTCCATGATTCCTTAGCTTAGCTCATGCATTGAAATTTAACTGCTTGAGAAAAGTCTGGTGTTACTGCCAACTTTCTCAACGTCCTCGTGGAGAACATGACACTTGACAAACCTACGAGATTTGGACTAAAGGGCGTTAATTACAAAGCAGGATGCGGGCATTTCTGAAAGTTAACCAGACACAAGTTTTGTCTTGGTTGGAACTCATGAAGTGGATGTAGCAGGACCGATCGCGCTCCTTTTGTTACAGTGGCACTACAAGACGACTCCTACTCACAGAATCCGCTTCAAATGTACGATCCTGGAGAACTCTCGGCTGAAAATCAAACGATTCTCCTGGCAGGTGGTCGGAAACGCTACGAAATATGGTGCGTAACTGACCCCAAGGCATGCTGTTACTTCCTGACCGGACTGTCCAGCTAGAGATTGTCACCCGCTGGGCCCGCACCACATGCTCCGTCAAGACTGCGAACGTCATACTACGACTTCACAGTGTTTAAAGGTGTGCACGTCCCCCTATTGACGTCTCTCCCCAGGGGTAAGTGACTTGTTTTCATCAGGTCTCCAACCTTCACCTTTTTATCAACTCATTACTGGGGCATTTTTTCTTGCTGGCAGTGTGGTAGTTGAGCACCAGTATAAACAACCGATGCATTTCCACCGAGAATAATAATGATGAGTGCACCTTTTTAATGCTTAAATATTAGAAACGTGACAATAGGATAGGTAAAAACGTCACTTTCACAGAATAGTGCAATAAGGGGCCTCTGGCGCTTCGGGAATCACGAGCAACTAGTTGGGGAAACAAACATAAGAAAACCCTGAAGATTAGTTTGCGAGGGTAACCTTTTCCACCAGCATATTATCAGCCGGATTGGGGCTTGATTCTCATTTACATTTTGCACAAGCGTCATCAGAATGATTCCCTTCCAGACTACTAGAAGGTATGCAGCGCACTCTCACAGCTCCTGCGGTGATGAAGTATGTTCTGGCAGTCCAGAAACGGCGCGAAAAAGACGAAGACAAATATTACACCACCAAACAAAATTCAACTCACCTGCTGGTCGTACAGCCGCTCCATCTGTAGCGGCTTCAAAACATCTGTTCCGAATTGGGGATGAGTGAATGAATCTCTTATTTTCTCCAAAAGCAGATTTTGCACTGTCTTCTCCGACTTTGGGCTGATTTTCTGTGGTTTGTAGGAGACATGCATTACGGGAAGTTTGGCCTCGTCATCTGGCTTGAGACTACCCGCCAACATTCGAATGAACGTCGTTTTCCCAGTACCATTCTCACCTAACATAACTATAATCTCCGAGTCGGTGAAAGATCCTGGCTCCACATGGAGTTGGAACGAACCCAGATTTTTCTTCATTTTCGGATAGTCATATCGAGAATGCCGTTTGACTTCCTCCTCATTCGCTGTCTCTGAAACCTGAGGAAAAGAAGAGCGGGGTTAAACAAATAATCCACTTAATAACATGTCACCGAAAACATAAGAGTTGACTGAAACATCTTATAGAAAATGGTACTAAAATGTACCTTGCGACACAGCTGTGTAATAACCAACTACTAAACGAGTATTCAAACTACGAGAATGTTTACGTTAGGCTGCTACGTAAAATTCGCGAAAAATTCAATCCGTGGTATACGTTCCACTAGAAGCCAGCGCAAATATCAAAGAGTAGTTTTGAGTAGACACTAGTGCCAACAGATAATTTCTTGAAGCTTAGGAGTAATAAAGGGTATTGTTTGGTGAACTTGAGAACGTTGATAACGCGATACTTGTAAGTAAACAATATATGTAAAAAGTAAACAAAACAAACGATGTTGCAGCTTTCTGTGCATTAGGAGAAATATTATACGTAAAGGGAATATTTTTCACACAGAATTCCTTAGGAGCACTGAGAATGGGAGCATTATGCAATAGTTCACGAAAATAAATAATTGTGCTACTTGTCGGGGGTCTATTAGAGAAAAACACATCAAGTATGGCATCACCAAGTGAGGGAAGTAGGCTTCATTTCCGTACACTTATGTCAAATTATCTCAACAAAACCATATAATGTAGAGGAAAAATCGGACGGAAGTGGAGGACTAGGGAGGGTCTAGGACAAGCAGTTGAGGTGCCCAGTAATAATAAATAATAATCGTTAAGCTGTAGCACTGCCATTCCAACCGAAAGAGGTGCGACGGTCAGGATACTGCCAGGTTGTCCACGCCTAGACAGGAGTTGAGATACCGAGAGTGGGTTCGAGCAACAGAACTTCCGATCAGTAAGTTCGTAACTTGATCACTGAGCTACCACGCGTCTGATAGACAATTGGGATAGAAACCGTGAATATATATCTATATCGGCTAGCCACCGGACAAGAGTAACAGATGACCCAGCCGCCGTAGCTTGCACACTACAGGTCGGTAAGATTCTCGCCCAAATGAGGGGACATTCCAAAGCTCGTTCCATCAATTCATCAATGAAAGTAAAAATGTGGAGGGAGAGAACACCCTTGTTGGGCATCGCTGCATGCAGAAAAGCTTTTGGAGGTCATACCATGAACAATCACGGGACCGTACAGAGGTGGATACTGGATGCGTATGGTAATCATGACCCTTTGGAGCATACTCTTTCACACACGCGTTTTGAAAAGACCGGTTGACAGAATGGAATGCATTCTCGAAGTCAAGAAACGCCAAAATCATAGGGCACCAATATGCATGCCGTTTCCCTAGAACTTGACGGAATGTGAAGATGTGGTCCACACTAACTCTTCAGAGCCAGAATCTTGTTTGCTGTTCTTGGGTCCCGTCTTCAAGCCCTTACATAAGACGACGGGGAATAAGCGATGCAGTCTGATTACAACGGGGCTCAAGTTAGCTTCTCTATGGTTGCAACGCTCACTGCGAGAGAGGCAGATGTTAGGTTCCAACCACGGAGCTTCCTGGAAGTAATTTCGGGCCCTAATAATTGAGCTACCCCAAGTTGAGTTCATCAAGTCACAAATGTATTACGTGTACTGGCACTAAATAGCAGGGTAATAACAGGCTAACTGCATCCAAAACCTGAATCCAGCTATAAAGCAAAATAAGTGACTGTTGTAGGTGGTTATTTCTTTTCACTGAAAACTGACCTTAAACACAAGCGGGGTTTCACGGAAACGCAAATTTTCCGTGGGGATCATGCCATCCAGGAAAATATTGATGCCTTCACGTACAGAAAAAGGCATTGTCACCACTCCATAGGCACCGGGAACTCCATAAAGACAGCATATAAAATCAGAAAGGTAGTCTAATACTGACAAGTCGTGCTCCACCACAATGATGAAATTGGTATCCTGGAATAGGAGATTACAGATATTTTCATTGTCTATACCTACCTCCAGTAATTCCCGTATGGCAATAGCTGTTTTCAGTCGCTGCTTGACATCCAGATAGGAACTGGGCTCGTCAAACATGTAAATATCCGCCTTTTGGACACAAACCATTGCACACGCAAAGCGCTGGAGTTCACCTCCGGATAAATCACTTACAAGTCGCTCAGTTACAACCTTCAGATCTTCATTCGTTTAGTTAATTGAATGAGTGAAGGGAGACTCACCAAGCAAGTTCAATATATGATCCTGATTTCCACGATCATCTTTCCGATCCAACAGGGTCTTCACACCACCAGAGACAAGCTTTGGAATTTGATCCACGTACTGAGGTTTGATGACAGCCTTCAAGTTATCTTCCAGCACTTTAGTGAAATAATTTTGTAACTCCGAACCACGGAAATAAGTGAGGATTTCCGTCCAATCGGGCGGGTTCTGTGGTAGATGAAAAGTTCGCCCGTAGTCAGAAACTGGTGTACGAGTTCACCAAACCGGTAATAATGGAAAGTGACTATTGTGAGACTAAAATAACAGACTGAATATAACAAGTGCCAGCCAAAAGAATATTGGATAAGTTGCTCACTGGCATACAACATTGGGAAGCGAGGGATGCAAGCTTACTGTAAAAATTACCTTTGCCAGTGTAACGCCGAATCAGTTATCTTGGAAAATACACCTAACATTTAAATTAAGATGGACTGCGTCACAAAGGGTGGGAAAAGGATGATCCCTCGATATTTGTGACTTCATATATGGCAGAGTAGGCTGGAAACGAACTTGAATGCTAAGGGAAATCATCCGGATTGATTAGGCAGAATTCTACACCAAAAACGTCCTACCGTCCAGTTAGATTGCAAGGGGCAAGTAGCCTAACTCGCACTGATCCGAAGATACAGCCACGAGCCAGTCCAGCACCAGAAAGAGCTCTGATTGACCGAAAATGTGGACCAATCATGTTCCACTATCCGCTGAATGCCAGCTGTCAATGCTGTTTCCAGGCGGCTGAATTCCCACGATGTTTTGATTACACACATGTTATGAACGACATGCTGTACAGCTGATTTTTGACTTGCTTTTGGAGTTCAGTAAACTCTGTATACCTTTGGTGGTTTTTCCAGCTTTAAAGGGCCAGGCCGAGAACTGGCCAGAATTCTTTGGAAGTGCTTCGTGTTCCTCAGTTAGCCATGTCATCTGGTCAAGCCGCACCCCAGATATTCCACCACCACCCCCACCCCCCGCTAATGAGTCAGCATAAGTTTGTGGTTTTGACAGGCTAGCCAACGCCGCCCTCATATTTAAAAATATTTACCGAAAATGTATCGGGGTGTCAACCTGGACAAATATTTGTGTCTCCTGTTGTAGTAAAGGCTCTATAATGGTGACATGGGATAAACACGGCAATTCACTTCAGAGAGAGCACTCAAGGAATTGATCAAAGTCCTAGAGTTGTCCGAGGTACGTTTCTTAGCGTGGATAGGTTCTCTTGCCCTGGTCCTAACCGACGTTATGTATCTAGATCTATTCATCACAATCACTGGTCATTGATGAACTCGTAACTGACTTGTCGAGACGAACTGATTACGGACATTAGCATACACACAACTGCATTGAAACACAGTGCATTACAATCGATTCTATCTTAAAGCTGTTATCTGTTATCTGCAGACAAAGCTGATGGTTTGTACTGACTAGCACGATTACCGGGCGAACCTTCTACAGAATATTGCTATCTAACGGACGTGTTCGCATTGCTTTACTCGTTGCGTTGAAGACTTGGCGCTTAAGCAAAAAATAGGATTATCGCAAAAAGCATAACGGACATGCTTTCATTTAGTTTACTAATTGTCAACTTACTAAGTCCAGCGGCTTATTCGGTCAACGTAAAGTATGGCTGAACAAAACGCGCCAAAATGTAACAAGTACGTAGCTGCAGCTCTCTCACTTGAGAGTAGCACCGAGTTACACACATGAAGGTTTGCTATAATCCAGTCAGTATTCGCCATGCTATTTCCAATAGAGCAGAATATATCATTAACGTTCTGGGTGTAAACGGTCAGGTGCCGGGACTGGCTTGGCAAAACTGGTCATTGCCGTGTGGAACCCAGCATAATACCACTTGTTAGTATGTCTAAATGGCCAACTGGACAATGCTGTCATACAGCGTTCAGATCATATTAGTCTTGTCCTGAAAAAGGTAGGTGCGCCTTTGAAATATTTCGCTTGTCAGTCGAGCATTGTTTCGGGTGGCGTTGTCCTTAAATAGGACGAAATGAAGTCTTTCATTAGAGTAACGCTATTCCCCTATAAACGCAATAATGAAACGACTACCGATAGCTGTATCGCGGGACAAATTCCGGAAACAGCCGAGACCACAGAGCCACATGAAAGGCAAAGTGAAACAAATGAAACGATCTCTAGGAGTTGTCGCGATCAACCTTAATATTAACCAGGTCTTGTCAATTCTGTTGAAATATATAGGCCAAATCTAATTAGGTCCAACAGAAAGCAGTTATCGACGCCTGGCTGATGTTCAAAGGTATGTAGTGAGTGGGAGCCCCATTAAAAGCTCGGATAATTCACGTAGGATGGAATGAAACAATTATTGTGGTTGATGGAATAAACGAAACCAGGATCGAAGACGACCTGTTAAGGCCAATCGCTGCTAACAGCTTCCAAGACGATATTTTGTTTACTACCTAGGATAGCGCAAACGTAGTCTGAAGGGGAGAAACAAAGTGGTGACGATCCACATAGTTGCTGTAAACTATCACCAAAGTTGCCAAGTGAAAGGACGTAGGAAGGAATACTCGACGCCAGGAAACAACTAGGTGCTTCACAAAGGAAACGAGTGCAGGATAGAACCTCAACCTGGCTCCACGTTTGACAAGACTATCACAAACAATGGCTTTCTTTAGGAAACTATGGTGGAGAATTCATGATGATGGAACATCTGAAAACGCTTAAGTTCAATCGATCGGAGTGGTCAGCCTCCCCGACCATAAAATCAGATGACTCTTGTGGTTTTGCACGCATATCTTCTTAACCACGATTGAGGAAAACGAGGTTATAAGTGTTATTGCGTTATTGAGGAGGAAGTCCGATGGAACATGATTTCGCTGCTAACTTAAATGCATTTTCCACCACGCCAATCGGCAATCATTGCGTACCTCCATGCAACCAGTGGTTTCGAAAGGAATACGAATTGGTTACTGACAATTGCCAGTAATAACGGGACATGTTAGACTAGTGCTTACAACCAGGATAACAAAGTATACCAAAATGAACCAAGAGTAGTTTGCAATCGTTTGAGCCTTGAAGAGCGATGCACTTAGTATGTAGCAATAAAAGCTAACATTGAACACAGGCTATTAACCTCACTGGTGACACTGGAGAGCCCTCAAGAATGGTTAGCGAAATAGGTAATATGATTGGGTATTCAGTGTGAAAGCGGCAAATGCATCATTATTCAACACAGGCCATCTCAGTCCGGTCAACAGATGGAAGAAATTCCGAGCGAAGAAAACAATGTCAAGTAATGCGAACCAGCAATGATCACAGTTAGTCCAGTGCTACTGAAAACAGAAAGCAAAAATGCCGTCAGGTAAATTAACTACTACCAGTTCATCGTTCGGCACACTCAAGTGAGGTTCATTAAGATTATTATGATTGTCTGACTCAGTGCTTAGGCACCTCGAACGCTTGCGGTTAGCGCTAGATTTATCTATCCATCTTGTCTTGCTTATTTCCATTATATGGCTTCCGCTGAGGTGTTTTGAATTTCGACAAAACGGCACCGCAATTAGGAACTAGACAAAGTTGTCAGACACTGTCGAGGTCACAGTAAGCTCCTGGAATCTTCTCAATTGAGGTCATAACGAGTTTTTTGACCGGTAACTACGCTGGGGAGCTACCAGCGTCGTACACTGCCACAAACTGGTTGACTTGTTTAAAACATGTATACGACTTCAATTTTCACCATCATTTTCGTATTGATTTTGCTTGCAGTTAACATTGATAACAGTATGTTGTTTTATTTTATTACTAATTACCATGCCATCCAAACCGACAGTTCAGTTTTTCCTCAGTGACATCAAAGTAGTCATGGGAAACCCAGAAGTTCAATCCACGAATTCCATGGTAATCAAACTGTCAGTTGTGTATGGATACCAGCACGTGGGTCCGGTCTTTAAAGACATTTTGTCATGCTTCATCCACGTGCTCACTACCAGTGAAGGGAAGAAGTCCTTCGCTGCGGAGTTGCGAGAAACTACATATTACTCACATGCCCCATCAGTAGTATTCGCCGCTGCACACCTTTCCCTCTTTAAGGATCGCTCGCATGCTACCGACTTTCGTTTACCTCTGTTCGGTCAGCTCCAGTAGCTGCTCTATTCGGCACCTCTTCAGGTGAATCATATCACTTACAAAACTGAATCCCATTCACTCATTTCGATCACCGACTGTCTTGAATTTTAAAGACGTTCCACCGAACAAACGGACTTGTCATCGACTGCCCAGCTTCCGCGACCCCAGTCCACTCTTTCCCTTCGGAGACGAGCATGTTACTGGCCACAACCCGATTTCCCGATCAACTGTAAGGCGCGGATGTCGACCTTACACTAGCATGAACGGGGACTTGCCTGTGGTTGGCTGGATGCAAGCACGATGAGCTGGCAACACCATCGGCAGGTTTACTTCCCAGTCACCTCCTTTGGCCGCCAGCCACTCCTTGATCGTTCGGTTATTGCGCTCGGTCAGACCATTTGTTTGCGGAGAGTATGGTGCCGTCCTTAGCCGTCTGATGCTTAGCTTCTGCAAACAACTCTCTCTGTGCTCTCGAAGCAAGGCCCCTGATCGGTTGTGATCATTTTTAGCACCCTATGGTTGGCCACGATATGATGCATTGCCACTCCGCTGATCGTCGTTGCCGGTTGATTTGACAAGGCTGCCACCTCGACCCACCGCGACAGGTGTTCTGTCATCATCACGATATATTGATTTCCGCTGGTCGTCACCGGAAAAGGGCCCATGACGTCAACGGACCATAACTCACCGATTCCTGAGGCAGAAATATGTTCCACAGGATGGGTTGCCTCTCTCGTATACCTCTTCATCAGTTGGCACCGCTTACAGGACAAAACATAATTCATCACTTCACTTTGAATACCGGGCCAGTAGGCCCTCTGCCAAAGTAAGTCATACATCTTGGTACACCATGTGTGTGCCACCTCATGGCATTCGACGATCAGCTTCCACTTCAAGACGCGAGGTATCACGAGCGGCACAACATCACAATCGGTGGCGTCCCAGGAAAGTATGCCAGCTTCACTCAGGCTCAGCCAATCGAAGTGACTCTGCAACGTTTGCAATCATTTGTCTCCCTTTCCGTTTTCAATATTCCTTCGGTCTAATAAGGCGGCTGCAACCTTCCGTGA